AATCAGCGATAGCGCTTCGCTATTGTTTTGGCGACAAAAGCAATAGCCTAATTTTTAGCAGACCAAACAGTTTTTAGTTCAGCAGATCAGCGAATAGCGCGCTATCGTTTTTCGATAGCGCGCTATTCTGATCTAAACTCTTTTATTTATTATTACCGCTAAACTAAAAACTGTAATCACTGGTATTATCAGCATTCAGTGTGATGAATTCAGTGTCATCATGGACGCTCCTTTATTCTCAGTAGAATGGATTTCAATGAACGTTTGTTCAACTTTTGTACTTGGCATAATTTTGGCTTTATTTTATTTTAGTCGATAGACTGAGCTGGTGTATTCATATATCCTGGTTTTGAGTCATACAGTCATTGACTGAGTACCTCAGAGATGAAGTTTTGGATCACTGCAAAGTAGAGACACAAGAATGGCTCCCGGGAAATACTCCAATGTGATTCTTCATATGCGAATCAGTTCAAAGCGTGGCCATGCCTACAACTTGTAGATAGTTTGGCATCTATGCGTATATGTGTCTAGTCGCAGTTGCCTGTCTGAACTACATGCTGAGAAGTAAGCTCTCAGAATCGTTGTTTTTGGAGACACGATATGTTTACGAAAAAATTTATTTAATTGTGCAAAGGATTGCGACTAGCGTTGATTACGGATATCCTGGCATATCAAACGAAATAATGTACGAACAAATTGCTTCGAAAAAATAGAGTATGAATCGCCTTGCGAAGTTAGCGGTAGTTTTTGAATGTTCCATCAGACTACTCATCCTATTGCTCTGGGATGGCTCGAAGAAATTCATCCTCGTGGTGCTATTCAGGCCATTATTTATTTTTGTTTATTATTACTACTACTATGTTATTATTATTATTATTACTATAATAATAATAATTATTGTTATTATTATTATTGTTATTATTACTATTATTACGATTATTATTATTATTATTATTATTATTATTATTACTATTATTATTACCATTATTTTTACTATTATTATTACCAATATTATTATTACTATTATTATTACTGTTTATTTATTTGTTCAATCAGCAAATCCCACTCATTACGAGTGTATGCCTCTCTATTATTACCAATATCACTGATATCACTATATCACATTCTTCCTTCGTTGGCATTCTTCTTTCCTCGCAGCTAACGATAATAGCGTTGGAAATCATCTGTCTTCATGAAATTCTAACTTGGATTATTGATTTGGCAAGCACAGAGGTTTGGGGCTACTCTACCATATTGCCCAATGAGTTAGTTCTAGGGAGGTGGATTCGAAAGGAGCCCGAAAATACATTCCGATTGATCGGTTGAACATCCGTCCATCAATCTAAAGGAGTAGCTGTTTGGAACAACCAACACTAGTGAATTAGTAAACTTTCGATATCAATAATAAACAATTAATGTAATCGAATAGATCCATAGCAATCGGCGTATCAAACATTCCATAACCAAGCAATAACGAATGCCAGTTGCCGTAAATAATTTGCACGATTAAATACAGCCGAATCCTAATCTATTAAAGAACCGCAACAATGACGAACATTTTGCCGATAGCAGACAGCGATCGGCAAACCAACCGCTCAGTATTCAAACAATCCAAACCATATATTATTGCTATTACTATTATTATTACTTTTGTTTTAAGTTGACTTTAACATAAATTCAATTTTGCATCGATTTTGAGATCAACTTGATTCAAGTTTGAATTGACAATAATGTGACTTGTCTTTGATGTTTACGTGAGTCTGAATCATCGTCAGATGACCCATAGATCACGTCGAATTCACGTTTTTGATGCTTTTATCTGATAGTATCAATTTTCGGGGAACGGAGAACCCGACAATTCCAGAAAAATTGGGGACGGGAAAAGACGAGGTCGAAACTTTGCAGTCGGGACCCCTAAAATGCGGCCGCCTTCAAAGTGTCGGGAATGGAGACGGAGACGAGATTTCCGAAATTTCCCGTTGTCCGCAGCATAAATTCCTCGTTCTCCTCGAAATGGCACTCTTGTTTCGTGCCATTTTCAACATCAAATTCTTCTAACAATCATCAAACGAACAGCTGGCCTCTGGAGATCAGAAACAAGGGCGCCCATTACTTCGATATGAAGATGGACTCAACGTCATCTTAAAGGCCTATCGATTGGAGCTGAGTGATGATACTATGCATACCAGGCCGCTATGGAGGGAAGTATGTCGAGACAGGGTCGCACGATTCGAGGAAGGCCGTATTTATGTACTGGAAGAGAAATCACGGCATTTACAGGGCCAGATTGGACACATTCCGAGTGGACAGTTTGCCTGTGATGAGATCCGTCGAGTGTCTATTAGAATCGGATTAACGTCACACAGTCGACTGCACTGACGATGAGATCCGTCGACTCATTCCATGATGAGGACGGGTGTGCAGACGGGTAAGTGCAAGTAGCACTTTCATAGAGATTCGTGGCAAAGTGTTTCGGTACTTCATCACTGTTATCATAAGTTCTGATAGAATCCTGCGTAAGTGGTATGATTTGCTATTTCGCAAGGAAAGGAGGTAGTGTTAGATGGGAGGGCGTTGTTCTCGGTGTACAATTCTATTTACATCAACTCACCGTTTCGTTCGCATTTGAATTATCGTTACGTGATGATGTCGTTTTTCATATTCGAAGCACACCTTTGAAATGAAATAACAGCCTTGTATTGCGAGAAAAGTTTGATGGAGCAATTAGCACTTTGTATTTTTACGAGCGGTATTCGAGTGTTTCTTTGTGGCTGGTTCTTGACTTGTTTTCACAGTTATTGAATATTACTTCGCTGCGATATTATCGTATCTAATTTCGTATTTATTTACAAAGTACAATATTTATGCGTGAAATAAGTGATACAATGTGATGTGTTTATCGTTTGACTTTCGAGTATAATAATAGTGTGAAAGCAACAACAAATAAAACACGAAAGTAATTTATTGAATAAATCATTTACTTGGTATCATGTTTTAATAGCACAAACGATCAAATGCATAGAACTATTACTCATGTGTATGTCTAATCCTTCCATCCATATCCGTTTAAAAACTCCAGTCGAATTGTATTTTTCAGAATCGTTGATCCACAACTGACCGTGTCAATGAATGTGACGGGAGTGAAGTTTATTCTGCTTGGTTTAATGGTTGTCGCAACGTTTGGATGTGGATTAGTACCATTAAGAGTAAGCGAAATATGCATCGGATTTATGTTCATAGCATTTAATATGGTTTCAAGTGAATTAATCTGTTCTTCAGTTATTGAAACTGCTACGCAAAAGTGCTGCATTGGCGCCCACTTCAGCCAAACAGCGTAACGTTTCACTGGTACTTTGCCTGCTGACGTGCTTCTCGGGTGGTGTCTTTCTGGCAACGTGCTTTCTTCATTTGTTCCCTGAGCTTCAAGAACATCTCAGTACGGTAAGCTTACTGCTTTCTCTCGTATATTCTGTTTTCTTATGGCATCTATTCATGATGTTGTTTAATATGAGCACAATGATTGAACTATCAATTACGCACATTAGACTTACATAATAGGTTGTTTTCGGAAATGATTAATGAATCGGTTCATTTGATTAAAAATTGGCAGAATTAAGTCGGGATTTCTTTATGTTTGTTTGATTTTTTAGTGTAGCCAGCGATCAAGAAGCGTTTCGATTTTTTTCCAATTTTCTTCGAATGGGAAACTTTTCCTTTTAAAATAGAAACGTGCAATTGAAGAATCATTTTTATCTGTTAATCTCGTCAAAGAAATTTTAAGATGGAAGAGGAATACGAATTCTATGTTTCTTATCCAATTGCCGAGCTACTTTCATGTTGTGGGTTCTTTTTGCTTTTCTTTTTGGAAGAACTTTTTCTATTGCTCGTACCCGGAATGGCGCATTCACATGGCCCATCATCCAGTGTCAGCATAATGCATTCAGAAAGACTTCCTGATCGGTATATTTCTTAAAATTATTATTTGCATTTGTAAATTGTTACTGTTTATTCGTAAGCATCATTCGTAGAAAATTATGGGTAAAAAAGTTATTATTATTTGAAAATTATTTTGAAATTAAAGTTATTATTTGCATATTTGGGGTTATTTTTTCTTTCGGAAGCATTCAGTGGAGCTTTCACTATTTGTGTTGATGTTTCACTTCTACACTGTCCCGTTTCATACAACACAATGACCGTTCTTTGTTTATTGCTATTTACGTTTGTCGTTAGTTGTACTGAAATTTCAATTATGTGTCATTCAGGCTCCATGATTAAAGTAGTTAGGTCGATATTAGGTTTCCCTATCACTCTTCTCAGCAGCATTTTGATTGATGAAATTATCACCATGAGACTTCCTCAGGAAAGTGCTGAAATTGAATTCTGGTTTGACTATAGCTCGGTGTTGTCTCGATAATCAGCACACGCGCAACCACACGTGTAAGTTGATGTTGATGAGTGATATTGCATTGTATCCCTTGCCGTTGAAATTCACAACAAACATACTTTTCGTAGCGGTGATCACGAAATTGGTCATACTTGTGAAGGGAAGAGCAAGGAAGTGAACACGTGTAATGGTAACGAAAATACTTTCGAATTGAAGGTGGATAATTCTGATAACGCCACGAAATTCCAAGGTAAAGGTTCATAACTCAATGATTTTGCTCCAACATTTTACATGTGAAAAATACCAATTGCACTTTCTAAGAATTTTAAAATAGGCTACTTTGCGAGCACCCTCTTTTGAGTTTACAGATGACGATTTGTCTCCAAAACAAGGCCTTCTTCATTCATCCAATTCAACAACATCATCACGTTCCAACACACCACTTCAGTGTAACAGTTCGTCACATGCAGAATGCCGTCGTTCGCGGCGAGAGTTAGTCTTTGTTTCAGATTCGTTTTATCATTTACTTTTCAATGATTTCGTCAAGTTCTCGGTTGTCGTTTCAATAAAATTTGCCAGCATGCGTTGTTCGTAATGGAATGCATTCGTTTTGATAATTTCTTAAAAATGCATGCAATATTTCAGCACTTCATATTCACTTGAACGTGAATTTCCTTGAAATATCAATTTACTTATTCGTTATCATTCATCATTTTAAACGAACTGATATGAATAGAGCGCAACTTTTACGATCCTTCATCGATCCAACAATTTTGTTACTTCCTCTCAATTTTCCCAATAGTGACGCCATTGTTTCACCTCTCTAATCCTTACTATTCAACTTCAGCGAACGAAATTCGATTTCTGACTCGGTCTGTTTGGATTACTCTTCTGGCTATGGATCGATAAAAGCTCCTCTGCAAGCAACTCATACTTGTTGCTCTTCTCGAAAGTATCTCAAATTCATCCGCAAATTTCACCGAAATTCTTCCTTCGTGCCACCGCTTCCCCGTCTTTTATTTGTGCACTATTTCGCTTTGCTTAATTTAGGTAGTCCCATTGTTTGTGACAGTCTTGACTTATTCTGTATTGCTATGCATTTGGCGTCTTAGCAAATTGTGTTGATTTTGAGAACGTTTTAGTCGTTGCTGGTTGCTCTCACTCATTTAATGTTCTCATCTCACATCACATTAGTTCAGTTCAGACGTATACTATGAAGATATATATAGTTCCAAGTGCATACGTCAACTAACCTTTTTTATCTATAATGAAATGTTCTCGTCGCACTATTCATATTATTGCGATTTGTTACATTGCATTTCCCCTTTGTCATATCCTATCCTAGAATATATTTATGTACCATATTTGGAGGTTAATTCGATATCGATGACGTATCGAAGTTATCTTGTCAACATGATTACATATGCCATCTATTAAATTAGGGTTTCTCAACCGGGGGTGCTCGCGCCCCCAAGGGGTGCGAGATAAGGTTTTATTTTTATCGATTAAAGTAATCGAGGACGGAGTTTTAACGCATACATGCGTATAAAGCAGGCAAGGATGGACTTTAAGGTATATATA